ATTAAACTATGCCCTGGATTAAACTATACCCTGGATTAAACTATGCCCTGAATTAAAATATACCCTGGATTAAACTATACCCTGGATTAAAGTATACCCTGGATTAAACTATACCCTGGATTAAACTATGCCCTGGATTAAACTATGCCCTGGATTAAACTATACCCTGGATTAAACTATGCCCTGGATTAAACTATATCCTGGATTAAATTATACCCTGGATTAAACTATACCCTGGATTAAATTATATCCTGGATTAAACTATATCCTGGATTAAACAATACTCTGGATTAAATTATACCCTGGATTAAACTATACCCTGGATTAAACTATACTCTGGATTAAACTATACCCTGGATTAAACTATATCCTGGATTAAACTATATCCTGGATTAAATTATACCCTGGATTAAACTATACCCTGGATTAAATTATACCCTGGATTAAACTATACTCTGGATTAAAGTACTTCTTTCTCTCAAGCAAGTACAAAAATATGGTTTCACAAACATTTCCATCCCCTTCAGATAATAACAAGTGTCTCTCTTCACAAAGTTTACCTGAATGTTGGAAGGTAATAWGTTTTTATGAGCCTTGTRCATAAACAGTAAAATATTATAATCAACCAAATCACAGAATTTCAAAATTTTCAATTAGCAAAATAACGTATTAGATGGATGGTTGTTGTATTTTCTAGCAATAATTCTTATGGCTCCTTTCTGTAAAACAAAAATAGGATTTTTAATTGTTTTACAAGCTTTACCCCAGACTTCAACACARTAAATTAAATGTGRAACAATKATTGAATTKTACAACACAAGCAGAGCTTTGTCACTGAATAACTCCCTGACTTTATACAGYACTCCTGTAGATTTAGATATTTTGTTCTTAAATAATGAATGTGAGGTCTCCATGTCAGCTTGTCATCAATGATGACACCCAGAAATTTCACCTCACTGACTCTACAGATCTCAATACATCTACTTTAAATGAGAAATCAACAGTTGTCTTCCTGTTACTAAATATCATGWAATTTGTTTTATCCAAATTTAATGACAATTTGTTTTGTTGAAACCAGTTTTGTATTTTCTCAAGTTCTTTCTGTACCATCTCAAACATTTTTCTATATATTTACCTAAACTAAAAAATGTTGTACCGTCAACAAATAAAACACATTTGAAAAGTCCTGACACATTTACTAAGTCATTCACATACAAAATAAATAACTTAGGCCCCAGTACAGAGCCCTGAGGGACTCCACGTGTGATATTACTAAGTTTAGATCTTACACCATTTATCTGTACAAACTGTTTCCTATCTTTCAAATAACTGGATACCCATTGTAGTGCCGACCCTCTAATTTCATATTTACTTAATTTTTCAAGAATACTGTGATCAACTGTGTCGAATGCTTTCTTTAGATCTACATAAATACTCAAACAATACTGTTTTTGATCGATTGCAGTTGTTATTTGTACCAAAGTATTGCAGTTCCACTTTATATATAGACCCCAACTGAAGGATTTGAATGTAGAAAAGAAGGGTTTAAAGGAAAGTTATGTCTACTTTAACTTTTTGAGTTTTAACCTGCCTATCATTCCAGATCATTAAACCATAACAGTGGTAAACTAGAACAAAGCAGATTTAACTCCAGAGTCACAGACTCTGGTTTGTCTTTAGGTTCATGTTTAAGTCCAGCTTTCTGTGTTTTTACACTGAATGATGTTTTTACTGTGAAGTCCGTCTGAGCTGCAGAGCTCCAAACTGAACAGTAACAGAGAAACAGCTGCGAAAGTCTGTTTCTCTAAGATAAATAAATAAATAAATAAATAAATAAATAAATAAATAAAACTGATTACATCATTTGTTTCTCAGCTTTTAGCTAATTTTGTCCATGTTGTTTAAAATATCAAAAGTCATAAAACCTTATGCCTGATCGAGCCACGATTGGATGAATAATTTACATGTTTTTGTTTCATCAAAACTGTAAATAGAGTTACAGAACAAACTATTTAAATATTAACCACAGAAAGTGAAGAAGCAGGGGCGCAGATAGGATTTTTGAACTGGGGGGGACCAAGTTTTCAGCAAATGATTTCCATCTAAGTAATTTTTAGTAATTTGATTAGTTACTTTCATAATAGCTTTTGAGTGAATGGCTTGCAATAAAATGGCATTATAGAATTATTTGAAATTAAAGAAGAAAAATGAACATTGTTAAACACCTTCCAAGTCAACACTAACCATACATTGTTAAACTGTAATTTGTAAGGAGTACGACCGATCCACCAAAACTTGCCTCTAATGCTGTGTGTGGGGGGKTGGGGGGTAGCAAGGGGTTCCTCTGTAGGACCCTGGGGAGTAATACAATGAATGAGATACAAATKATCACAATGGCTTTAGAGGACAATTTAATTTTATTTTGTTTATTCTTGATTTAGTTTTATTTGTAACATGTCATTGTGCCAAGCAATGATGACACTCAAATGTATGTTTATAAATTATAATGACTTTACCCAATGAAAAAAGTGATATTGATAACCACCAACAGTGAATTTAGGAGGCATTTCTTTCCTGATTTAGTGATAGGCACACAAGCTGACATGACATCATGAACATTAAATGAAATTGTGCCAAACAATAGTTACATAAACTATAACTGTTTTTTTTTTCCAGTTTTGTCAAA